TGTCATGAGTGATTCATTCTGATGGGAACATATTGTGGTGGAGGTTCGGTTTCCCCTCTGGAGCTGAAATGCAGGAATCAGTGGTACACACCCTGATACCCAGCATCTCCCAAGTGCTTTCAGCATTCTCACAATGGTCTCTGCTCTCAAGCTGCTGAGAGGTATTTGCTACTCATGGGCTTCTCACTGAACATTACAGCAGCCCCTGCGCAAACTGGAAAAATTAGAGTCCTTTCTTTAAAAAATAAACTAACTCCTTCCTAGGTGATACATTATACCTGCCTCTAGTGGCTGGGATCCTGAGCACTTGGAAAGGAACTTTGCTCACATACAGGTTATTCCTCTGAAACTGCAATAAACACAAGCCACCTTCTCTGTGGAAGGCTTCAATACACAGACAGCAGACAACTTTCCCATGGGCAGTCACAGCTGAACTAGTGTTCATCGTTTTTCAGACATGGTTATTGACCAGCGTCACCAGGCAATCACAACACCTATTTCTGCCGCTTACCACTGAGCCTCAGTCCCTGCATTAGTGGACATGTATTTGCTTTGTTTGCTCGTACGGCCAGTATTGTTTTCCTTGCTAGGAAAGAAAACAGTCTCTAGAAATGACTTTTCACAAAGACCCCCTATCCTGGGCAAAAAATGCTACCTCGCTTCTAACTCAGGAAAACAAATCTCTGTGGAACAGCAACCAAGCCTGAGCTACTACGCTTTGTTTCAGTTACATTTTGCTTTTGAAAGGAACTTTAAATCCACCCCCTTGCCCATTTCCTTTGAGCAAACTGTAGAATACGTTACTCGAAAGTTGCTAAAACTGCTCAGTATATTTCTCTGAATGGTCAGGTTTAGAGGTGGGCCAAAACCATAGCCATGTATTCAAATCCACGTTGGCTCCCCGCATTTTGACAGCCTGGGTAAGTTCAGTTAAATGAGACCAAGAACCAAACGCCTCCTAGGTTTGAATCTGCAAAATAAAAACCTACCAAACAAGGTTTAGCAAAATTAAAATGACCCCTGGTTTAACCTGTTCTGAGTATGTGTATATGTTTTCCCCAGTTTCTAGCAGCAGATATTGGAGTCATGCTGTCATCATTAATATCCTAGTACTGAAAACCCCCATGCGTCCCTGATATTTGAAAAAAGGAAAGCATGTGTCTGACTAGCACACTAGGAGGTGGGAATACAATGCAAATCCTTCCACGGACTCTAATGGGCACGGGATTGGACCCTTCATCTCTGCAAACAGGAAAACAGCCTGGTGGTAGGATGCAGGGCACTGGAGAGCTTGTAAAAAAAATGGTCTTTTAAACCAAAACTGGTGAAAGTGTAACTGAGCCTCCTTCCTGCTTCCTCTTCTGGGACAACCCGAAGGGCTCTCAGGGCAATCGACCGCCGCCCTGCTCTGCTACAGTTCATCTAGCAAATTCAGTACCGACCTTCAGGAAAACAGTGCACAAAGGGACAAGAGCCAAGCGTGTTCAGAAAGACAAGGTCCTTGTTACATGCTTTGCACGGCAGCTTGCTCTTATATTTAATATTTTATACTGCACTATTCCTGCTCTGTGGGCCGTGTTCAATCAATACATATATATAAATAATTGAAGCCCATTTGTGTTTAAACTGCTGTGTCAGGTTTTCTTGCCAGTATCCACAGAGGGACCTTTTTCCATACATTGCCCATCTTTCTCCTCTCCCAAAAATATCCAGTCTGGGCCGGCTTGAGCAGTCAGCTGAGAGCTGAGCTCTGCTGGGGTCACCTAGCCCTCTCTCTTACAGAAGTGGGAATTACATAGACCCCCATGGGACACAGAACTATCGGCACCACTGACACGTGGTCTTCCTCCAGCTCAGGCAGGACATTTGGCACTAGAAAGGACAGATTGTGAGCCCATTTCCCAGGCAAAGGATATAGAATCCCTCCTTCTTCCTTCATGACCGCTTTCTGCTTAGCTTTAGCTATCCATGTTTTCAGTCTGGGTCTTTCCAACTGAAATCCTGAGGTGGCTCACCTCAGTGTCTCTGTAGTGGGCTGCCCACTGCCAGGTGAGAGAGAGAGATTCAACTCCTGGCCTCGCTCACTCATTCCCCTGGATGTGGTGTACTCAGAGAACTCCTCCTGCCCTACAGCTGACACGTGGGTGATCTAGAAGCTCTGTAGGTCAGCTCGCCTGACCAGCCCTCACTGGAGCCGCTATGGTGCAGGATTAAGTGTGAGAGGGAGACATGGTCGGGGAATCCTCCATTGCAGACTAGAAAATGCAAACTTGTAGACTAGAGGTGAATCTGCATGACAGAGGCATGCACCAAGCTAGATTCAGACTCACTGCCATGCAAAATACCTAGAAACCTCTTAAAGGCTGGGTGGGGGTTTGGTGGGCAGATTGTTTGATACACTGTGCTCTGGGCTCGTTCTGCCTTCCACAGCAGATGCATCAAGGATATTATTTGCTTGTTGAGAACTGACAATGGTCTTGGTGCTGTACAAGACCCTAAATGCAGACTCCATGCTCCAAAGAGTTTACAAATCCTGCAGAGACTCACATCCACGGTTAACTTTACTCATGTCAAGCAGAGCCAACCGGATGATTCACGTGCGCTAAGTTGAGTCTGTGTGGAAGTCTCTGCAGGATCAGGGCCTAGCCAGTGGACATGCTGTCAGGGGATGGGATTTGATCGATGCAGCAGAAATTAAGCCCCTTTTCTCCTTACGCCCCAGCAACAGGCCCTTGCATGAACGACGGCCGCTGACAATGTTGTAGAGCACGTTGTCATAGCTGTGGCTACTGCCAGCCTCGGCAAAGAGCCTTGGGGTGCTGCCAACCCCACTGCCCCAGAGCAATAACTGGCCCTGGCCTCGAACAGCCTGGCACATAGCACAGGGGCATTTCACAGCAACCGTCCAGCACCCTTGTCTTCGAGGCTTTTCTTCTGATCTATTTTGGGCGGCTAACCCCGAACCTGAGCGGCCAAGAGCTTGACACGCTAACACAGAAAACAGCCTATGCTACACTGAGCAAACGAATCAGCAGACGTGTTACTGAGCAGCCCAGGAGGGAAGTAAAGTAGAAAGCAGTTCTGTACGCTCTTACGTTCTATCGGGTCCTGCAGGAGGGGGTGCAGGAGCGCTCGCGGTGTCCCGTGATACAGCTGGAGCCTAGAATTAAAGAGGGGCACAAACCAAACATGGCGGTTTAGATGGCTCCATTCAAAATGAATTTCCCACAATGGTTCTCTTGATCAATACACAGCAAACCCCTGTTCCAGTCCCATGAACTCTCCGCCAGCAGACTGGTCTCCTTAGAGCCCTGAGTAGGAAAGGAGGGCAGGTGACTGAGATGCCAGGTCCTTTGCTTCAGGTTGATTCCCCAGGGAGTGGACATAGATATTCCCTTGAAAACCGCCCTGGTCTGAGAAGCTTGCCCAGTGGAGATGGCTGGTGGGTAGGCAGGATCCAGGGCACAACGGGGTCACACTGGGTATTCACAGTGAGCCGGACAAAGTGAAGCAGGCACCTGGAAAGGGTTCCGAGAGCCCGGCCCATCACGTGGCGGGGGGATACGAAAGGAAAAGGAGGCGAGCCGGGCGGAACAGTGTCTCCTCTTTCCCCTGGCTGGCGAGGACGGTGGGCAGCTGAGCTGGTTTTTGGGGGAGTTATTTAAGTCTTTCATTCCCCAAGTGTTGGGCGTGGTGGTGTTCCCCTTCCCAGGGGCGAACTCAGCTTACAGTCAGCCTGGCTTCACGAATCACAGCTTAAAGGCAGAAAGAGCTGCCTTCCTCTGGCCCTGGAAAGGGGGGCTTGGCTGGGTCAAGGCTGTGAACTCTGCACACGCGCGGGACTGCACATGGGCTTCGCTTGCCAGGTTACAAATGCAGCAGCTGCCCTCACCCAACCTGCCGCCTCAGGCCTGTCAGCTGAAGTGAATAAAGGCCCAGCCACAAGCAGCCAGGGCAGCTGTAGTCCATGCAGTCTTCATATGTGTAGCCAAGAGTGCAAAAGGTTCAACAATAAACCTGTTTAAAGTATGTATATGACCCCTATGACCGGTGTATCCTCATATGCTGTAGTTATCCCCATTTTAGAGATGGGGAAACTGAGGCACAGAGAGACGAAATGACTTGCCAAGTTCACAGAGGCAGTCTGTGGTAAAGCAGGGTCTCCAGGTCCCAGGCTAGTGGCCTAACCACGGGACCATCCTTCCTCTCTAAATGGAGAGCAATAATTCCATGTTGCCATAGAAACCTGATTCCACCTTATAAAATGCTATAGCGACTCACAAGTCCTGCTGTCCCTTGCAGCCGGCAACACCTACCCTCTGTCCTTGGTGGCCACATCTGTTGGCTCTGACTTGCTGTTGAACAGGTGCAGAATTCCAAACCCACAAGACAGATCCTGGTGGGTCCCCTCTCGCTTCTTGGTTGCAGCCACCACTTCCACCACGGCGACGATGCTGGGATGGCTTAAAGATGTGTGAAAATAAATGGTCTGGGGGAAGAGAAAGAACATGGCAGATTTTAGAACTGGGTGGAGTAGCTATTAGCAGCTTAATGTATATTACAGTTGGAGAGTAAGGTCCAGGTATATTCAAAATAAATATCCAGAAAAATATCCAGATGGTGAAATGTAGCACTCTGCAGAATAAATCTCCAATGGGAACGGATGGAAGCGCCATTGCAAATGATCCCTGGGGTCAGGGAGAATAACTAACAGTAATCTTTCATCTCCCACACACTGTCACGAGGGAATATTTTTTAAAGGGATCCTACTAGAAAGTGTAGAGTTCTCGAGGCCCGTTTACCAATGGGACTTTGCCTTCTTATGTCTGCGCAATGCCTAGCACAGGGGTCGGCAACCTTTCAGAAGTGGTGTGCCGCGTCTTCATTTATTCACTCTAATTTAAGGTTTTGCGTGCCAGTAATACATTTTAACGTTTTTAGAAGGTCTTGTTCTATAAGTCTGTAATATATAACTAAAGTATTGTATAGAAAGTAAATAAGGTTTTTAAAGTGTTTAAGAAACTTCATTTAAAATTAAATTAAAATGCAAAGGCCCCCGGAGCGGTGGCCAGGACCCGGGCAGTGGGAGTGCCACTGAAAATCAGCTCGCTTGCCGCCTTCAGCACATGTGCCATAGGTTGCCTACCCCTGGCCTAGCATATTTTGGGTACCACTGTAATAAAAAAAATAAATCTAACCTTCAGGTCAGGTCGATTCCCTCCTATGAAGAATTAGCCTAAGAGCTGGGACTGCGAGAGAAATCTGTGCTCTCTTAGTGTCTATTATCACCCACTCATTTAACTGGATAGTCGGTCTGTGCCTCTGAATACCCTCCCCTCTCCAGTGTAGATCCACCGGGCCAGCTTGAGGCTGGACTACTGCAAATATGCTCTGTCTAGAGAACGACCCTGTAGGTCGTCCAGAAACTACAGTTGGTTCAACAGACAGGAGCCTGCTGGGATCACATCATACCATACGCCACCCACACGCTGCACTGGCTGATAAGACCAGTCCTGGTCTCTACTTTTAAACGCTCTATACAGTCTTGTATTTAGCTTCTCATTACACTCCTCCTTAACCGCCTTGGAGGGGCTCTTTGGGCTGCTGGCAGCCAGGGCTCACGCTCAGTGGGGAGAGGGGACAGCACTCCAGATGAAAGTTCCTTCAGGTGTAGAATTCCCAGCTGTCAAAGATCCAGCAGCGCTCGGATTTCCCTCCTGAGGTGAGTGCTCTCCTAAACTGGAGGAATGGCCCTGCTTGCAGGTTCCAAGAATGGCACCGCCAAGTCCTCACCACCCAGCACTGATACGGTCCAGGGGAGAAGTGATTTGTGCTCTTCTGTCCTACGGAATTCAGCTACCGTGTGCGCAATGCCACATGGGAATGGCACCTAGGAGCAACCCTGCCTCTGTCCTGTTCCCCCAACTTACATTGAGACATTTAGGACTAAAGCGAGTAAATGTCACAAATCCTGAGAATGAACAGCATTGTTAAAGTGGCCCAGTGGCCCCCCAAAAAAGGATCAGTTATTCTTAAGCTGCAAACGCCATACAAGTATGGTTCAAAGGTTTCAATTGACCTGAAGGTACCATTGTGAGCTCCAGGCTAGAAAAGCAAAGTGACTGGAAAAATCTAAGGCTAATCATGACCTTCACCTACGCTGATGGGAGAGTTATATCCATGAGGATCATCAGTATGATATGGACCTAAGAGTACGGGGGTGAGGGGGAAGAAAGATGTCTGCCATGGACATGACTGAAAGCCAGGCTAATCCTTCTATTAAACAGTCATTATCATGGTGTCACCAAGAAAACAGCTACAGTAATCACAGACTGTCAGGAAGGGATAACAGAGAAAGGCATTAAAACATCATCCCAGAAAAATAAATCATTATTCTATTAACTTTTATTGCAAAATGATGAAATAATGACCACTAACTGCCGACAGGTGGCTGGACCGAGAGAGAATTCTGCTTTGGCTTGCAAAGAAGGAGGAAGCTGTTAAAGTGGATCGGTTATAAAACTAAGTTTACCATTGTCTCCTTAAATGCTAATAAAAGTTTTACTAACATACGCCTCTCCCTTAAACTCTGCTATAAAGTAACAATAATCATCCCAATTAGGGGTCACCTTGAGATCATCACACTTCAGCTCTCTGGAGCGCTTTTTTTCTCCCTTTGCATTTTCTTGTACAGAAGTAAGCGATGCCCAGTTCTTGGGTTAATAAATTGCCAGAGGGCAATCTGTGCCAGAGAAAAAGCTTGGGAGACATTATCTCACGTGGCCAAGAGTTCAGAATGTATTGGGTAGGAACCGAGGACCTGATTCTCCTCTTGTTTACTCCAATGTAAATCAGGAATCACTCCACTGTAAGCCGAAGAAGTGCCTAGGAGAATCAGGCCCTGAATCCCTAAAGGGGAGATAAAACGAGTCCAGTTCACAAATATGCGCACAGTGGGTCTGATACAATGGAAGTCAATTGAACTTCCCTGGGCTGTGGATCAGGTCTCCTGCTGTTGCTCTAGATACAAATTAAACATCACTTGTATTTGTTTATTCCAGTAAGTATTTTGTACCTCATCGCATTTGTAATATCAATGGGAAACTGCATGTCGTTCACACAGGTCAGAACTGTCTCCCTCATCCAGAAGACTGGCTTCAGCTTTATACCAGCACTTTAATTGTTTGTAGCTAAAATATACTTCCAGAAGGTGAACAAAATTGTAATTGTTTACTGAGATAGCTTGGCAGTAGTTATAAACAAGGGCTGCTGAGTTCTCCTAGGGGAAAATTATTAAATAAACTCAGAAATATTAAATTTGTATTCATCAGTTAGAATTACGTGATTAGAAAATTCAAATCAGGCTCAGCAAATTATCTGTAAAGGATTCATTCTTGTGACAGAATAGATGATATTTTAATTCATCTTACCATCATTGCTTATCTATATTTGACTGTTACACTCCATGACGGGGTAAACAGATTTATAAATTATTTAAACACACTCTATTCTAATGCTTTCATCTTACACACACACAGGTCATTTAGCACTCGTACCATGCTTTCAATTTTCATCAGGACTAGCATAATCTAAAGTATGCACCAGATGACATGCTTTCTCTGAGACATTCAGAAATCTTCAGCTAACTTCCTTGTAGATGTTTATGATCTCTTGAATGCCAGGTATTAGCTCACCTCACTTTGTATGAATCATTAGCCCTGCTCCTGTTTGTGAATAAAGATGCAATTTAAGAAGCCAATCACTTCTTTCCAAGGCAAACAGTATCAAAATAACCTAGCGACATAGCGAACCCTATGTTCACAGCACAGCAGCATTTCCCTTTCCTATTGTTTGCTTTTGCAACACTCCTTTGTGCCTACAGCTCAGCCCTGCTCTTTCTCCCAGGCGTCCACTTCAGTACAGCTTACCAAAAACCCAACACATGCTGAATCTGCTACTGATGGCAATGAAATGCACCGTGGAGCTTTCTCTTCAGCAGGAGACCAGACCAATATCCAGAGTGCTACACAAGAGCAAAGTCCCAGCAGCTGCTAAAGGCAATGGGCAACTTGTTCAGCTTCCCAAACAACTTCCATTTTCTTCCCCTCCTTTATAATGCGTAGGGCGTCAGAGGGGATTAGCGGGCGTTTAACTAGGACTCTCCTCAGCCTGTAGATTCACAGCTGTTAAAGGCAGCGAGGAGAGGGGCCAAGGGGGAGCCCAAGACTGAAAGTTTCAGGATGAGAGAGCTGTCTTCAAGAATGGACCCTCTATTCTGCAGCTGGACTAAATCCGCACGTTGGAATTCACAGGAGGACAGTGACCCTGAGACCCCTCTACTTCTCTGCTTCTCCTCCTGCCTCAATAGTCACTGCTTCAACAACTCCTCCTCTCCCCGGTTCCTCTCCTGGGCTCCCTCCTTCTATCCCCCTGCACTTGCCCCTTAAGTGTCCTCATCCGCTACCATGGTGTCAGCTACCACTTCTATGTGATGACAGACAGATCTACTGATGTGCCCCCAGCTTCCCCCCTTCCAGCCAATCCAGGCTCTCCGCTGGTGTGGATCCCACTGCTGTCTAAGGCCCTGGTACTGGAGAGAGAACAGCATAAGGTGGCCCCTACACCCACCCACAGTTCTCTTGAGGTCACTGGGACTCTGTGGCCTTATCCATAAGAGGCAGTTAACCCTGAGGGTAAATCCCTTGCAGCCAGTGGAGTTACCCCTGGGATGAAGTCACACCATTATGTCACTGGAACTCCATGTTCCATGAACCAGCAGATCCTCGGCTGCTGTAAATTGTCCGAGCTCCATCGGTGTCACTGGAGTTCTGACAATTTACTCTAGGTGAGGATCTGCTCCATCTTTCCTCTAAGACGCACTCCTCTTTCCCTGCCTTTATCACCACTGACAGCTCCGCTACCCCCAGGCCCACAACTTCAATGCTGCTGTCAGTGACTTTCTAGCCTTCTTCCCCAAATCAGATGCACATACAAGTATGTAAACCGTGGGACGGAGAATAGCCCTAGGCCAGATTTGTCCTTTTTTCCCTGCTTAAAAACCTGGGAAATTAAATGCACCATTAACTAAATCAATGAGGCACTAATGCAACACTGAAATTGTGAAATCAAGTACTTAAAAGTCAGGTAATTCAGAAATGTAAGGTGTTAGCCATGATGTTAACTAAGTCACATGGCATCTATGTAGTATTTCCTACTGTGGTTTAATGTAGGTTATTCCTAACAATGTAAGAGCATTATAAGTACATACTGTAAATTATACAGGATGTGTAATATAGTTTACTTAATGGGTTGGGGAAAACTTAAGTGCAAAATAATAATTTTAATGCCACTTTATGGTTGTGAAATCCAGCACTCTAATATACGGAAGGTCCTAAAATTTAATTCATGAATTGAACAAAGCGCACACAGCTACTGACCTACAATTCATAAATGCAACTTAGTTTACAACTTTCAGATGTTTACAAAGGG